GCTGTTAGCATATTTTCATCTCTTATTTGCTATTATGTCACCTTTGGTGAAGTATCTGTTCAAATATTTTACCTATTTAAAAAACTGGATTGTTTGTTTTCTATTCATTGTAAGAGTTCTTTATGTAGTCTGGACACAATTGCTTAATAAGATATGTCATTTGCCACTCTACTCTCCCCATCTGTGGCTGTCTTTTCATTCTTTTAGCAATGCCTTCACAGCAAAAGATTAGGATTTCTTTATCGAACAAATTTACTCAACGCAACATTCTGTGTCATGGGGGCTTGTTGTACAGATTATTTCATCAACCAGATACTAACCCTAGTACCCAATAGTTATTTTTCTGATCCTCTGCCTCCTCCCACCCTCCACCCTCAAGTAGACTCCAGGGTCTGTTGTTTACCTTTTTGTATCCATGTGTTCTTATCATTAAGCTCCCACTTATAAGTGAGATCGTATGGTATTTGGTTTTCTGTTCCTGTGTTAGTTGCTAAGGATGATGGCCTCTAGCTCCACCCATGTTCCCACAAGGGAGATGATCTCATTCCTTTTTATGGCTGTATTGTATTCCACGGTATATGTGCCACTTTTTCTTTATTCAGTCTACCACTGATGAACATTTAGGTTGATTCCATGTCTTTGCTATTGTGAATAGCACTGCAATAAACATACATGTTCATGTGTCTTTATGACAAAACAACGTATATTCCTCTGAGTATATACCCACTAATGGGATTGCTGGGTCAAATGGTACTTCTGTTTTTAGTTCTTTGAGAAATTGTCACATTGTTTTTCACAATGGTTGAATTTATTTACACTCCTACCAACAGTGTATAAGCATTTCTTTTCCCCTGAAACCTTGCCAACATCTGTTATTATCCGACTTTTTACTAATAGCCATTCTGACTGGTGTGAGATGGTATCTTACTAAGGTTTTGACTTGCATTTCTCTAATGATCAGTGATATTGAGCTTTTTTTCATTTGCTTGTTGGCTGCATTGTATGTCTTTTCTTGAAAAGCATCTGTTCATGTTCTTTGCCCACTTTTTAATGGGGTTGTTTTTTTTCTTACAAATTTGTTTAAGTTCCTTATAGAGGCTGGATATTTGATGTTTGTCAGGTACATAGTTTGCAAATACTTTCTGCGATTCTGTAAGTTCTCTGTTAACTGTTGATAGTTTCTTTTGCTCTTCAGAAGCTCTTAAGTTTAATTAGATCCCATTTGTCAATTTTTGCTTTTGTTTCCATTGCTTTTGGAGTCTTTGTATGAAATCCTTGCCAGCCCCTATGTCCAGAATGATATTGCCTAGATTGTTTTCCAGGGTTTTTATAGCTTGGGGTTTTACATTTAAGTCTTTTATCTATCTTGAGTTGATTTTTGTATATGGTGTAAGGAAGAGGTCCAGTTTCAGTCTTCTACATATGGTTAGCCGGTTATCCCATTTTTGAATAGGGACTCCTTTCCCCACTGCTTATTTCTGACAGCTTTGTGAAAGGTCAGATGATTGTAGGGGTGTGGCCTTATTTCTGGGCTCTCTATAAGAGAGCATTAGAAATATCAAGGCAACTGATTTGATGATTGACCAATTCTAAATGCTTGAGAGACATTGTGCATCAATGGAGGCTACAAGATTTTGTGCCAAAATTACAGAGAGAATAAAATAGTGCTACTGATACTTAGTTTTAAGTTAAGGACAAGTTTGAATAAATAATTTTGGGAAGGCAGCAGGACGTCCAAATGGAAATGACCAATAGGTATGCTAAGTATGACTGGCTTGCAGTCATACTTAGGAGTCATTTGCTTATGAGTCATCATCATCAAAAAGGTGAGTCTGTGAGTAGATACATTTTATAAAATACATGGAAGAAATGCTGAGCAGAAAATAAACACTGGGAAAAGGACGTAGGATTGTCATTCCGTAGAAGCACTGAGTTTAAGGTAACTAAATTATTTTAATCTCTTCTGCAATTGGAAAAAAGTAAAACCTTATATCTGCCGTGGTCGTTAAGTATTTGGTTAACAAATGAAGTATTTGTATGTTTTTAAGGTAGCCTAATTCACTGTCTGATAATTCAAACAATTGGGAAAATCCTTTCTTGTACTGAGCCTGATATGAACAAACTATTATCTTTGACCTTGATTTCAGCTGCTGGCACAGAGTAGGCACTCAGGCAATGTTAGCTAGATGACCAGATGGTTCTTCCTGTGTTCTCAGCCAATTCAGTTAGTCTACTCTCTTCCATGTGTGAGCCAGATGGCTGAACTGTTACATAAATTTTTAGCTGTATAAACAAAAGTAACTTAAATCATTGTAATTATCTAATGTGTACGCCCCTTGTCTTTTTATTTTATAAGGTAAATATTCTAGATTTACAAAGCAAATTCTCCAATGATATGATATTCAGACAGAGATATTTTGAAGAGGATAAAGAAAGAAATACATCACATGGCTCAGTTCTCAGTAAGAGTAGGTGAAGTTATTTGTTTGGTTTGAAATTATTGAGGAAAGTGAAGGTTTGGTATAGTGTCTATGGAGGAAGGTACTTAAGCCAGCAAAAGATGTATAAAAAGATTGTGGAATATCAGCTAGACTGTACATATCATGGATTTTCAGGGGGCCAGTTAAGCAGACATTGCAGAGAGTATGTAAGATGTGGAACTGAACTGTTGAACCATGAAAGCTTTCCCTTCTCAGGTTTCTTCATATCAAAATCCCAGCTATTGTTCTTTTATCCTGTCAGTTCATTAATAGGTTATGCTAGCCATGAATGGATCACTATACTGTGTAAAGCCAGGAACTGCATCCCTGGTAAGGAATAACTTATATATTCCTGGGTTTATGTTTCTATAAAGCAGAAGATATTTGATCACCAGAATCTTCCATCTTCATGTAGGAATGACCACAAACTATCTTCTTGGATAGTTTCTGCTACTTTGAAGTATTTCCTGTCTTGGGAAAGGAGATGGACAAAAAAAATCATGGCTTACATTTACAGTTTCCCTTCTGGCTAATACTAATATGGCACAGTGATTAAGAGCATGGGCTTGGGAGTCAAAGACATCCGTGTTTAAATTCTGGTTTTGCTGCTTTCTAGTTTCTGTGAACAATACTAAATTACTTAACACGTCTGATTACTCAATTTTCATCTAAAGTGAGAATGTAATATTTAATTTGTCAGGTTGTTATAAGAATTAAATGAAACAATGCATGTAAAGTGCTCAGGCTCATTGGCTAGAACAATGAATAAAAACCAAAACAATTGTTACTGGGTTTCTGGCCTGCCAGAATTCCTGACCTTCTTATCACATGGGAGATTTATTTTCTCTCATTGTTGCTCTAAGAGATGCTCCTGATCTTGAGATTTATAAATTATATAAACAATTATTGTTCAGAATAGCAAGACACTTTAGGTATTGTAGATAACTATCATTTGAGGAGTCTTAAGTTTGTTCTTGGCTAGCCTGGCATGTGGCAGAGGTTTGAGAGAGAGAAATCGTGGAATAAAACAGAAATGGGTATACACAAACATAAACGAGAAACTGAGTTTACCCAAGGTTGCAGACAAAAGCAGCTGCAAAATTGCAGACTTCCTCGCTTTCACAACTACCTGCCCTTGCAAGTTCTGAGACTCTCTCTAAATTTCTGCAGACAAGAGACCAGAGCAGAAAAGCATGTGTTTGGAGGAATGTATAGGTATGATACTCTCTGAAAGAGAATGAGGCCAGATGGAGCTGACATTCACACACACAGTGCTGAGACATTCCTCAAGCTTTGGGGAGAAGTATGAATGAAGAATGGGTAAAGAAATGGTAGAACATTTCTTCCCAATTCATCTGAGGGGATAGGAATTCTTGTTTTATTGGCCCATGCAGAAATGCAGATAATTTGAAGGGATGTCTTCTCCCACACTCATATGATCAAATGAGGCTGACTCAGAAGGAGGAAGAGACCCCTTTCATTTTCTGATTCTGTTCCTTGATCCTATCTGGAAAAGACATGGCCATGTCTGTTCATTTAAGTATTAATTGTGGTTGCTTTCAGATTGCAACAGCAGCCATTGTGACAGAGAACATATGGCCCACAAAGCCACAAAACATTCCACTATCTGTCCTTTTAAAAAAAACAATTGCAGATCCTTGATCTGGATCAATCACCCAGGCAGCAGTGGGATATCCTTTTCTTTCTGTTTGTCAAGTAGCATAAGAGGCCCCAAATGGCAAGGGATCGGTCTCAGCTCCCAATTCAATGCAACGGTTGCTATGTCCCATTGTGAAAGCAATTCTTAGGGTGCTAAATTCTCCAACCAGCAACACGCAGAATTTTGGAAACAGGAATGAATTTTTGCAAGTAGGTAATAAGGTATAATAATGGAAGATGTCACCTCTATATCAACCCCTTGGTTTCCAGACCCGTGTGTTCTGTGGGAGAAGTAGCATCTCATATCAGTTCTTCTCAGAGTTTATGCTGCGCCCCAACCTTGTAAGGTCTTAACCATCAGCTGGCACCATAATTAATTCTTTGATAAATCTCGTTTTATGTGGGCAATGAACTACATGGTTAGAATAGTGAGCTCCATGAGGACCAGCCCACTGGCCCACTTCTTTTGGTGAAAGATGGGTGTCTTGCTCAAGGTATGTCATGCAGAAAACTCTAACAGGAGAAGTTAGGCATGTTATTTTCAGCAGAAGTCTTGGGTGGTGAGGTAAGGCAAACCCAAATGCCTAAGTATGTATTTCATAAAGACAAATCATGGTTTCTTTTATGAAGGTAGGACTGCAACATAATCAGCATTCTACCAGATAGCTGGCTGGCACTCCAGGGATTCAGTGCTGGTTTCTACAGAATATTGACTACCCAGAAGAAGGAATAATCTGACCAGCCTTGGTGAGAGCAATCTATGTTGCATAAAACACATTTCTGCTTTTGTGACCACATTGTTCACTAATCTACTGATCAAGCATTAGGGAGACTGGGAAAAAGAATGACTTGGCGGAGCCGCCCTCAGAGTCGCGAGGCCGGACACAGCGCAGCACGGCCCCACTCGCAGCAGCCGCAGCCATGAAGGCCGTGTTGCAGCGCGTCACCCGGGCCAGCGTCACAGTTGGAGGAGAGCAGATTAGTGCCATTGGAAGGGGCATATGTGTGTTGCTGAGTATTTCCCTGGAGGATACGCAGAAGGAACTGGAGCACATGGTCCGAAAGATTCTAAACCTGCGTGTGTTTGATGATGACAGCGGGAAGCACTGGTCTAAGAGTGTGATGGACAAACAGTACGAGATTCTGTGTGTCAGCCAGTTTACCCTCCAGTGTGTCCTGAAGGGAAACAAGCCTGATTTCTACCTAGCAATGCCCACGGAGCAGGCAGAGGGCTTTTACAACAGCTTCCTGGAGCAGCTGCCTAAAACATACAGGCCGGGGCTTATCAAAGATGGCACGTTTGGGGCCTACATGCAGGTGTACATTCAGAATGATGGGCCTGTGACCACAGAGCTGGAATCGCCAGCTCCCGGCACTGCTACCTCTGATCCAAAGCAGCTGTCAAAGCCTGAAAAACAGCAGCAGAGAAAAGAAAAGACCAGAGCTAAGGGACCTTCTGAATCAACCAAGGAAAGAAACACTCCCCGAAAAGAAGACCGCAGTGCCAGCAGCGGGGCCGAGGGTGACGTGTCCTCTGAATGGGAACTGTAGCTCAGGAGGCAGAATTCAGTGTGTTATCATTGGGCAGAACTGGATCCTGAAAATTTCAAGATGCTAAGCACCTACACTACTTTAAGAATTTGGAACTGAAACATGAAGAGGAAGACAGAAATAAGAAGTTGGGAACCTGAATAGCTCTGCCAAAAACACCAAAGGGTTGTTTTGTCATTTTCTGTTGTTGCTGTGTGGAATGAGGCAGTGGGCACTGCCGGTGGGCCGGGGGTGAGTGCGCACGTGGTAGAAGGCATGCGCTTGTGCCCCTCCACAGAAAGGCTTTGTTGGTTTCTACCACATCTTGGCTTGCTTTTGGAACAGGCTGGCCTAGCATCATTTGTCATCAAGTCCACTGTGGTATATTCTGCATTTCCATGGCGGGGGTTCTCCAACACACTCACACTGTCCATGTTCTTCTTATTGCTGATTCATAATTTAGGGCCCTTGTTGAATTGTCAAGAGAGCAATCATCAGTGATAATGTATTGTGTGAGACCTTTGCATCTTGTAAATTTTCTCTTTTTTCTAAAAATAAATAATAATAAAATCCTAAATCTCAACAAACCACAAAAAATAAAAAATAAAAAGAATGACTTAATATACATGGGATGAATCATCCTGTTCCTGTTATTGAGACTGTTCTACAGAGGGAAGCTTCAGTGAACATTCACACATATTATTCTTTCATCCTGGGCCTATTCTGAAGGGGCTATCCACATGAACCTTCCCCAAATCTCTTTCTCACTAATGTGCAAAAATCCTTCCTTCTGAGTCTCTGTATGTCCAAACTGTGCCTAAGGATCACTACCAATCTATACCTTAGGTCATCTGTCCTCCAAGGCAAACTGGACAACCAATGTACCTACAGTCCTCATTTTTCATAGTGCTGAGATACATGGATTTCAATGATCATGTTTAATTAAATAATATCACTACCTTAACAACACAGTTCAAATTTTAGTAACCACAGTATGTTAACTGTGAAAGGTTAAATGAAGCACAAACTTCACTGCCATTTTTTAGTCCACATATCACTTTGTAAACAACGAATGCAGGTCCTGGGAACAGACGGTGGATAGGAGACAGGGCTAATGTGCAGGGAGTTCCCACTTGGGTGGACAGACCAGTGTGTAGAGAGTCACAATGCGAACCTTTGCTCCAAGAACCAGCACAGGAACACACCGGGAAAACCAGAAGAATTCACAGATCCTTTGAAAGAAGCTGCATGCCACTGCAAATTCCATGAGACAAGTGAAAAATGGAGAGCTCCCAAAGTGTGAGCGGTGGGAGAAGCTGCCTCCAAACACACATTCCCACTGGGAAATCTGAAAATCCAGATCACAGCAGAAGGTTTTAACCTTACCTGGAGCTGAAATGGATGAAATATAGAAGTAAAAGCAGTAGCACTTATAGGCACTCCCCTTCTCCAGCTGGAGCCCAGGGAAGCCATTCCTGAATGTATGAAACAGGGGCCCTTGGGGAAGGCAGGCAGTAGAATTAGGGAGGGGTCAGAGGGTATAAGATATTTCAAACTAAATTTTACAATAATTTTGATTGGGCACAAGTGGGTTGGGAGGAGCAGCGGAGGAAACAAGAACTGCTTCAGGTAGGGACAGGAGCCACAGCCAACACTGTGGGCAGATGCAGGAGAGGTAAGGCCTGAAAACCGAGTTTGCTTGCTCAGCAGGGAAGCCCATAACCTGAGACAAGGCCTGAGTTCTGCCTGCCAGCCGTTCAGGCTACCTGGATCTCAACTCAGTGCTGTTAGTGGGGCACTGTGGGAGTGAGACTGGCCTTACCAATTGAGTGGGAGCTGGGTGAGATCTCTTGCTATCAGCTATCCCTAACTTCTCTGGTGAACTATATGGCACAGGAGAAGCAGATATAATCCTCTCTGGAACATAACCCCATTGACGTGAGAACTATCTCCTCATCCTCCACAGTGGCCATGGCAAGCTTGGCCCAAGGGGAGTCTGAGCTCAGACCTGCATACCCTGCCCCAACCTGATGGTATTTCTCTACCAACTCTCGTAGCTGAACACAAGAGTCATATACTCTTGGGAGCTTTATGGCTCTGCCCATCACCAGAGAAACCAGAATACCTTTCTTGGCCAACTTAGGGCAAGCTTATATCCCACTGCTAATAGCACAGCTGGTGCTCTCTTGCAAGTGCCACCTTCTGGCTGTAGGACAACCAACCCAGGCCATTACAGCAACTCATGACAGAATAGCCATGCCCCTAGGAAGGAGAAAACAGCAACTAATACCACTGCCTGCAACATCCTTGCTAACTAGAGGTCCTGAGTCTGTCCATGTGACAACTTCACTGCCAGCATAAACAGCAGTTAAGAAAGCCAGCACCATAAACACACCTACAATCAAGGATTCTCACAGAATCTACTTCATTCCCCTCCCACCGCCACCAGAGCAGGTGCTGGTATTTATGGTTGAAAGACCTGAAGATGGATCAGATCACATCACAGGACTCTTTGTAGACAATCCCCAACACCAACCTGGAGCCTGGCAGTCCCACAGGATGGCTATACCCAGAAAAGCAATAACAATCACTGCAGTCTGGCTCTCAGGAAGCCCCATCCATAGGGGGGAAGGATGAGAGCACCACCTCAAGGGATCACCCTGTGGGACAACAGAATCTGAACAGCAGGCCCTGAGTTCCATATCTTTCCACTAGTGGGTAGTTTCTCATAGCAGAGACACAATTGTAGCACTGGAAGCAGTAGGGAAAGTCTGCACCTATACTCCAACAGGCAGGCAGCCTCTGTGATTGTGAAGGGCCTTGGGGAAGGGGTCCTTATTCTCCTCTGGCACTCCATGGCAGACACAGCTGGGGCCTCCTCCACAGGAATCCAGCGTGGAGGCACCTATAAACAAATATCCTCTCAGACCATAGTGGAATGAAACTGGAAATTAACTCCAAAAGGAACACTCAAAACTATACAAAATATATGGAAATTAAATATTCTACTCTTGAATGATCTTTGGGTCAATGATTACATCAAGATGGAAACTTAAAAATCCCTTGAACAGAATAACAGTGACACAACTTATTGAAACCTCTGGGATACAGCAAAAGTGTTGCTAAGAGAAAAGTTCAGAGTATTAACTGCCTACATCAAAAAATCTGAAAGAACACAGATAGACAATCTAAGATCACATGCCAAGGAACTAGAAAACACATAACAAACCAAACCCAAACCCAGCAGAATAAAAGAAATAACAAGGATCGGAGCAGAACTAAATAAAATTGGGACAAACAAAAAACTACAAACAACAAAAGAAACAAAATGCTGGCCATGTTTTGGAGGCCAACCAACTCGCAGATGCATAGACCATTAGTGAGATTAACCAAGAAAATAAGAGAATATCCATATAAGCTTGTTTAGAAATGAAATGGGAGATATTACAATTACAACTGATACCACAGAAATACAAAATATCATTCAAGGTGGTACGACTTGGCTGTGTCCCCACCCAACTCTCATGTTGAATTGTATTTTCCAGAATTGACAGGTGTGGGAGGGACCCGGTGGGAGGTAACTGGATCGTGGGGTAAGTTACCTCTATGCTGTTCTTGTGATAGTGAGTGAGTTTTCCATGAGATCTGGTAGCTTTATAAGGGGCTTCCCCGCACCTTCACTCTGCACTCCTTTTTGCTGCCGCCATATGAAGGAGGATGTGGTTGCTTCCCCTTCCACGATGATTGTAAGTTTCCTGAGGCCTTCCCAACCATGCTGAACTGTAACTTAAGCCTCTTTCCTTTATAAATTACCCAGTACTGGATATGTCTTTATTAGCACGTAATAACAGGCTAATACACAAGGCTATTACTAACACCTTCATGCACACAAACTAGGAAATCTAGAGGACATCAATAAATTCCTGAAAATATACAACACTCCTAGATTAAATCAAGAAGAAATAGGAACTCTGAACAATAACAAGTAGCAAGATTGAAACAGTAATAAGACAAATTGCCAACAAAAACAGTTCAGAACCAGATGAATTAATAGCTGAATTCTATCAGACATTCAAAGAAGAACTGGTACCAATCCTGCTAAAACTATTTCAAAAGACAGAGAAAGAGGGAATTCTCCCTAAATCATTCTATGAAGCCAGCATCACCCTAATACTAAAACTAGGAAAGAACATAACAAAAAAGAAAACTACAGACCAATAGCCCTGATGAACATAGATGCAAAAATCTTCAACAAAATACTAGCTAACCAAATTCAACAGCGTATCAAAAAGATAATACAGCATGATCAAGTGGGTTTCATTCATATCAAGGATGCAGGGATGGTTTAACCTATGCAAGTCAATAAATGTGATACGTCACATAAACAGAATTAAAAACAAAAATCTCACAACCACCATAATAGATGCGAAAAAAAGCATTTGACAAAATCCAGCAACCCTTTATGATAAAAACTTCTCAGTAAAATTGGCATATAAAGGACATACATACCTCAGGTTATAAAAGCTGTCTATGACAAGCCCACAGCCAACATACTAAACGGGGATAAGTTAAAAACATTCCCCCTGAGAACGGAGCAAGACAAGGATGACCACTTTCACCACTTCTATTCACCATAGTACTGGAAATCCTAGGCAGAGTGATCAGACAAGAGAAAGAAATAAAAGGCATCCTAATCAGTAAAGGGTAAGTCCAACTATCACTGTTCACTGATGATATGATCATATACCTAGAAAACCCTAAAGATTTATCCAAAAAGCTCCTAGATTTGATAAATGAATCCAGTAAAGTTTCAGGATACAAAATCAATGTGCACAAATCAGTAGCACTGCTATACACCAACAACACCCAAGTTGAGAATCAAATCAAGAACTCAATACCTTTCATAACAGCTGAAGAAAAAAAAAGTACTTAGGAGTGTACCCAGCCAAAAAGATGGAACATTTCTACAAGAAAAACTATGAAACACTGCAGAAAGAAATCATAGATGACAGAAACAAATGGAAACACATCCCATGCTCATGGATGGGCAGAGTCAATATTGTGAAAATGACCATACTATCAGAAGCAATATACAAATTCAATGCAATTTTCATCAAAATAGCATCATTATTCTTCACAGAACTAGTAAAAACAATCCTAAAATTCACATG